CTCAGGAAATTTGAAAATCAAAATTTGAGGGGGTGGTGTAACACACACATTTGACGTTGTTTACTTTACTCATTGAATTAATCTGAAGCGCAAAATGCTGTTCACTCGAAAAGAATTCCGTTCAGTGTAATGGAGGAAAAAAGTGGGCAACTTCAATGGTTCTCTATATCCAAGGAACTTCCTATATCATTAAACGCTGCAGAAAAAAACGTCTTGTTTGTGCGTGTTGTGCTATAAGAGAACACTTATACAAGCCAGAAAAGTTTTAACCGTACCTTTTTAAATTTTCGAAAATTCCCATTGTAAATATCAGAAGATGAATTGACGAGCATACGTTAGCTTTCGATAAAGCCTCCTCAGGCCTGTACATTTATATGGTAATGAAATAAATAAACCATTAACAGATAACGAAAAATATTGTCCTGCATTCATGAAAATCAGATAGACGCAAATATGAGAAGTAGCATCGTTATCGGGAACAGCAGGACGGATGAAGTTTCAAAAATTCTCTTTTACAAACGTACTACGTTTTATGTCATACAATTAAGAGATAAAATTGTACAGCTGTAGTTTGTTTTACCACACCGTTGGGTGGGGCTGTAAACAAGCATATGCCTGTGAAAACCTGTGACGCACCGTCACTTTTCTCGGTCACGCCGTACACGAAAGACGTCAGACCAATTTCTATATGCAGTTAAGCATGAACGAATGTGGAGACTTGAAACGGAACGGGCAGTAGATTATCAGTTTTTGCAAAATCTTAATATACGTTCTGCCATTCTATTGTACATTTTCAGTCGTAGACGGGGTCTAACATTTAAAAAATATACCGAAAACTTCCAGTAAACAGATAAGAGTCAGTCCTTTTATTTCCAGTAAAGGTCTATTCGTATTTTTTCGGGGAAATCAGAAAATCAGTCTAACATTCTCATTTTTATCTGGACTAAACCTTCGAAAGAGATAAACTACGCAGACATTTTACATCAAAATAAGTAACTGAAGCGCTGTTTCAAGAACTCACTGGTTATAGATTTTTTTAAATTGATCTTAGACATAATAAATTGTGAACGTTGTAGACGTTTAGTTTTCTTGGCAATGAGTTGACATGCTTGAAATGATTCTGAAACCATGAGCTAAATGGACAGCCGAATAAGTATATCCAAAACTCACTTTTTAGGTAAGTGCTCCTTAGAAATATCTTATTTTGAAGGTTTTGACGAAGACATCGAACGGAATCCAAATTTATGCGAAACAGCTTAAAAAACACTGAAATCCGCAAAGTACTCGGCGGAATTTCAAAGACGAGTTAAAACTAGCTGCAGTCTTTGATAAACGTTAACCGACCGCTAACGGAACTGATCTGCCCGCTCTACATTGGGCTTCGACAGAGGCCCTGATAGCCGTAGCAGCTGGTAGTGTAGGCTGATAGTGGCACTTATGAAAGGTAAACAAGGAATTGGTGGTGGCATTAAGCTATCTTTACCGCAGCCGTCTATATACACACACAAAAGGGCCGCTGCACTTACGCAGAAAAGACGAAAGAGGGCCCGTCCACGCGAAGCCACCAGAGCTAGCAGGGTTTCAAAGGATTCGCCTTCGGAGGTCTCTGAGTAGGGTTGACAGATGGCGAAGGTGAAGAAGTCGAGCAGAGCAGTAATTACAAGCGAACCGGTTCCTCGAAGCTGCGGGGATCAACAAGAGCAGACGGTTATATATGATGTACAGACGGTGTGAAATTGTCTCAGTTAGGAACGGCACTTCACCCAGAAGAACCATAGAGGGCTGGGTTTCCTCTTTAGCATTGACATTAACAGCCTGTTATAGGTACCCCCGCGGAAACGAAAACCCCAGAACGGAACTGATGATAATTGTTATTTTATTTTAGCTTGTTGGTAACCTGAGGAATTTAATGCCGCAGATGAATTACGTCACTAACTTGATCCGTTTATTCGTAAACACTTGGAAAATAAAAGTGTTTTCAAGCTGCAGCATCCTTGACCAGTTTCAAATACCTCGATGTGAGGTTGTTGCTGAATAGACAGACTTAGAACGACGTCAACATCCGAATCGAAGTTGTTCATTGGTTTTTTAAGCCACATAAAGTGCCTATGGATCATTCGTCCCATCTTCTTCGTCTAGAAGATTCGGTAGTAGCATGCATTCGGCCGGTTAGTTTTTCTTTATGGTTTTGAATGCTGGGTTGTGCGCATGAAATATACGCGAAATCTGGATCGGTGAAACACCTGCATTCATTCATCTGGAAGTATTCTATCATTACTGCTTAAGAAATATATTTCGAATGAAGTACATCAAATTAATCGTAAGCGAATTAGTCCGCACTCGCCAGGACAAGACCGCAGACCACTCAAGAAAGATAACCAAGGTGTTTTTGGCACGTCTTTCATCGTCCAGTGTTACTGCCCTCGATCCAGCACCGTTACCTATTTGGAGGAGTTGAAGAGAGGGTCAACGCAAAACCGGGTTTTTAGACCTTTCAGCAAGACAATGGAATTGCTTCTTGGACTTTAGGTATTGGGCATCCGTCGCTAGGAAGAGAAAAACTGAAATTTCCGAATCTACTACTACAGATGACCACGCATGGAGTGGTACAATCCTTGATATTTTTGCAGCCGCACCAAGAAAGCATATTCCTACTTTTAACAGGTTGCCTGGACAACTGGATGTCAGGTCGGTGTTCGGGCAAGAAAAATTGGCCAAAATTGCACTTCTAGACGGACGCTTC